GTGTGTGTGTGTGTGTGTGTGTGTGTGTGTGTGTGTGTGTGTACAGGCAGGTATAAATCTAGACTGTGGCAAAATAGTTACTTTAGTGTGTCAGTAGATAGCAGTATTACATTTTCGGAGCAGAGATTTGTGGTGCAGAGAGTGGTACGGTGGTTGGTATTTGCAGCAAACGGGTGTGGGTTCAACTGGCTGCGGCCTCTCTGTTTATGGGTTGAATAATGTCTGTAAAGGTTCTCAGTCATCCAGGTCAAGTCATCGTAGTCTAAGGAGCTTGGAAAGAAAAGTGTCTGGACTTCCTTAAGTTGCTTGAAGACAAGGAGTTTTGTCTTTGGGATGAACTAGTTTTTTGTGGCTGGGTCTGACACAAACTGTCTGCCATCTATAATCCAGTTTTGAGATCCCTTCAAAGACGCCTTAACCCCCACTAACATCCTGGGCCTTTTGACCTCAGGAAATCACCTAATAGGGTGGGGCAAGGTCTCACAATGAGTTCACCTGAAACCTTATTGTGATTGCTGATTGTGACCTACACCCGTTTTCACACCTTCGCTCATGTGATTAGGTATTGTAAAGGTAAATGATTAGGATCATTTGTCCTTCTTGGGTCGACACTCCCATGGGGCTTAAATCTGGGACTCTTCACCATTTGACCTCAGAAGTGAAGAAGCTTCTTGGATGAGAGGTGAAACGTCTTCAAGCAACTTAAAGAAGCCCAAACGCTTTTCTTTCCAAGGGTTGACTCTATCTTGACTTCCACCAAAGAGATGCATCTTAGTTTAACTTGCTATTCTAAATTGGCCGGAGATCTGAATTATTGCTTGTTTCTCTGTGATGACCTGGTAACCCAGCCCAAGTGTAGCATCTCTCTTTCTGAATAATGGATCTGATGGCACCTGGGAATTGGATATGTGCTTTAGAAAATGGTTGCATATGGAAAAGATCAATTAATGTCACAGTCTTTTTGTCCTCTCAGAAGCAATATACCTGCCAATATACATGTCCAGCAAACACACTTTACTGCTAATATTCCTAATAATCTTCTAAGTACTTTCTTCATAGGTAAAGTGTGTGTTTTAAATGCAAGCAATGACAGTAAAATAAGGTTTGAAGAACCACTGATGTGCAGTGTGAATAGAATTACAACAGCTTCATCATGCAGTACTGTGAATGCACTCACCATCTGTGCTGGCATCATCCTCCAGTAAGATCTCTGTGAGCAGGGCAGCTGGAGCTGTGTGTAAGACACTGTGGACCATCCTGAGGAGAGCGGACCAGGCCTCATTATGAAACACTATGATCACACTGGTGATCGGGAGGCCAGGACAACGCCAAAACATCCGTTTCAAACAGCTGTCAGAGCCAAACTGAAAGTTAACCCGTACTAGATTTTTAACAAGGGGTACAGTACTGTGCAAAATCTCGAGTCACACACATAGAAATACAGTATGTAAGGGAAAAAGAGAGTTTGTATAATTCTAACTTGAAAGCCAATATTTGGTATGACCACCTTTATTCTTCAACACAGCCTGAACTCACTTAGGCAAGCTTTCTTGTCATTTCTTTAAGTAGTCTTTAGAAATAGTTCTCTGGGCTTCTTAAAGGACGTTCAAAGCTCTTCTTTAAATGTTGGTTGCCTTTTGTTCCATTTTCTGTCAAGATAACAGATGACTGCTTCACTAATATTGAATAATATTGAAGCAGTCATGACCCAGAGACCACTGATAGGATTCCACTCTGTTTTTCTATCCAGGTATACCTCTACTGTACTGATAATGTGTATGGGATCGTTGTCATGCTGAAAAATGAAGCAATTTCCAATCAGATGCTTTAATGTGGTATTACATGGTGGATCAAAATCTGACGGCGCATTTCTGCGTTCATAATTCCATCAATTTTGACAAGATCCCCAACACCACTAGCGTGAGTGGACCCCAGACTAAACCATGTTTTGTAATGTTCATGACTGCAGACACTCACTGTTGTGTGAGTGTGTGTCTGCAGTCATGAAAAAAGCAACCAGTATGGTTATTCACTTTAGAGCTCGTGTGTCTTTGCCCAGATCACAGTGGAGGGAGATACAATCACCGGCAAACTGGTTAAACTGGTTTTTCTTAGTCCATTTTACTTTCCCTTTATGGTCTTTATCATTTGCGCCCGGTGCCCTGGAATCTTGGAGAGGCCTCTGAAGTTGAGGCTTGAGCTCCTCTTTAAGGTAAAGTCTAGGTGAACAGCTGAGACCTGAAGAATCTGGGAACACGCTATTATGCTCAAGGATGAGTCCCCTGAGTCTCCCCACACTACCAAAGGGAGGTGTGGTGGTTGTGGAGGGGCTTTGCAAATGATGTAGTATGAAATGAACAGCAAACTCAAAAAGCCGGTGATCGCTAACTTTACTGATCGGGTGAATTGATGGCTGAAGAAGCACATGATGAGCACAAGGTAGTGCTGACATAAAACAGAGCAGAAAAAATGAGAGAAAACAGTAAAAATCTTTAAGAAAGCAATTATATAAAGTTTTACTTACTTACTAAGTCATAAAGAAAATCATTTATTGCTGGCAAATGTGCTGAATGGTCTTTAAATAAAACCCACCAGCATGCTTTTTTTTGTTATAGTAAGTATATTATTAAACTCAATTTCCATGTACCAGATTTCATATGATATTTATTTTCATCTATGATTGAGTAAGAAGTGTTTACAAATAATATAAAATAAATATATGTGAAAATAATGATCTACAGAACAATTACTGCAGTTAACACAATGTTTATATTGTAAATTCTAATCAGCACTTACACATTACCCATATCCCTACATGGGTCTAAGTGTTGAACCCATCCATTATTGTTTTTTGAATGTGTAATTTGGCTGGTAGTAGGAAACAATTTAATCAATCAAAAAGAACAACAATTGCTCAAATTTATCGTTTGGAAGAGATGTTTTATTTATTCCACAGCTTTTACATGTTTTCTTCGCTGTCTCTTGTCTTAGCTTGTTAACTGTCTTTAATTTTCTATTCTTTTAACTTGGATTTTTACTGTTTTCACACTTTTCTTGTATCCTTTTTATCTTTTACTGCAAGAGTTATTTTTAATATTGTATATAAAATTCGATCACAAACACAGTTTAAATAACATTATACAGCAAATATTCTATTTTTGTATAACATGTATGCAGTGTATATCAATGCATTATTAGAAATA